AAATGTATTTCAAAATCTTCCTTATGAAATATTTCCTCATGGCTCTTGCTATTAGAAACAGACAGATCATATATGATGATGTCACCAGACACAGCCAGAAATGTTGGCGCACACTAAGTTCTCAGGGCATCTGAATGGGACCAGCACACGTCTGGTTTGGTCATTTACACTGGCTGACCAACTCACTGCCTTTCCCAGGCCATGGCCTAGTCTACAGCACACAAAGTTAAACGGGAGAAATACCTGTGTGTGGGGAGGTTGCTGGTTTATGTCCTCCATTTAAAATCCCTGCTTGCACAGAAACAATATTAGGAAAGTAACATTTGAGGAGCTTTCCTAGAAAAAAAAGAATTCATTTCAGGAGGAAAACCAGTGACTTTTTCTACCCATCGGAGAGGAAAATGATCAGGGCCTAGTGATGCATAAAAAGAACCTGTTAAGAGCCATCAGTGGGATCCCTAGGAAAGACATCTCCAGTCTCTTTATCAAGTCTGTGGTAAGGAAACATTGGCTTTCATTTCACTCCCAGAAAGCAAGTCAGAAAGGAAAGAATGACTGCAAAAGGCCTTTTTACTCAGTGGGGGCCTTCTAAAGCAATGTATATGAAGCAGAGTGAGTAATGGTTCCATCCAACAAAGATTCAGCTCAGACACTTCCCAGAACATTTCATTTCTCATAATTCTGAGGTGTGACATCAGAATTTTGTATTAGAACAGACTCAAAAGAAATGAAACCCTCTTCTTGCCTGTGGTGAGAAACTTCTCTTCTGAACATTCTGTGTTTATTTAGCCAGTGACTAAAGATAAAAAATGGGTCAGCCTGACCACAAACAATCAAAACCGGATGTTTTGGGCAAACTAAGCCACACGGGCAGAGGGAAAAGAAAAAGAACATCAGTTTATTTATTTAGTTAAACTTTTGTAAACTGGTCTGAAGACCTAGCCCTTTAAAGGCTTCCCAGCATGATGTGTTCTCCCTTTCTGAATGGCTTGTTTGAAATTCAGAATGTATTCCTGAAAAAAAAAAAGCTGTTGTTTTGGAGTTCCTGACTCTGTTCTTTAAAGCACTTAAGTTACCTTTATCTACAGTTAGCTTCAGATTTACACGAGCCCTAGTAACACCAAAACTGAACGAATATATGGTAACAACTGTCCTTAACAGAGTGGTTCCCTTCAACTGAGCCTTGAAAGCAGCAGTTCTTTGGGAGAAAGATAAAAAGAACAGAAAAATTCCATATCTGATTTTTAATCCTGCCTCCTTTCACCATCAGGCCTTCACTCTCATCACCCAACCTCTGGCACTTTAATATGTTTGCCCGGAAATCATTGGATGCATGCTGTCATTTGGTGAAAAGTGTGATGAAAATTCTATCCAACTACTTTAAAAGTAACAATCATTCCTTATAAAAGTATCCTATTTGAAATGTGGAAACTGGCTTCAGGACTGATAAACTCTGTTCAGAAAATGGTCAGTTCTCTCTCCAGCCCATCTGTTGATCAGTATCTCTTTTGAAAGAATGTGCACTACAAGCCTCATTTCAATAAGAGATCTAGAGAGAATGGCCATTTAGGCACATATACTTACATATTTGCTTCAGCAAAATACCTACTTCTTTTGGTTTGATGCTGCATTTTTACTAACTGCCGATTACTGAGTAAGAATTGCAAGATAAGGCTAACTCTGTTTAGTAGTTTTTGTTCTTTAAGTTGCTTCGCCTGCTGCACTGGATTTACAGAGTTATACTGGATTTATGTATTATAATGAATTTAACTACATATCGCTAATATCAATTTGGGAATTGTGATGTGTTTTATATAGATACTCATGATATTTAACAATGGCAATTGGTTAGAAAGTCTCTTAATCAAGATTTTTTAGGCTTGAAATTACCATGCAGATGGGTCCTGCAACAGAAGACAGCACCTCTTGGGTCTGTGATTGATAAGATATCAAAAAGCTACTCCAGACAATACTGTATGCATGTATGCTGTGCTATCCTTACCTCATGTACAGAACCATAACAAAACTACAGCAGAGTTTAAAAGTAGGTTTGGTAACAAACATGTATGTGATCTATTTTTCAATTCCCTACATGCTCCAAAGTGAGTTTGGAAAAACGTAAAAATACCCATTAGAATCTTACATTAAAATCCAGTACCAAGAAATGGCAAAGTCTTCAAAACCTTGTACTCCAATTGATCTTGCATCCAGGACATTCTTGATGCCGCTGAGAAAAGACAAACCAGAGAAAAGCTTGCTTTAGATAGAAAAGCAAAATATATTTAAACAACAAATAGGCACAGAGAAGGAATTGCAAATATCTTTGCTAGGGATGAGTACATTACTGTCCTCCAGCTCCAGCTCCACCACCAAGCCAACATCACCCACAGTTACACCAAAACAATTGTCAAAATGCCCATACGGCTCCTGAAAACACTTTAGTAAAAAACCTTCCTGAGTACTCACTCTCACCAGATAGAACTGACCATTATTATGACACAAGTGTACGCTATGCAGATCTGCAGTGGACCAAGAGCCAAACAGTTGTCACTCCAGAACTGCTAATAGCAGGGAATCAGAAAACAGCTCAGTGAAGCAAAAGGAGGACTTCTTGGAGTTTTTTTCCTAGCCTGCAAAGTGCATATGAATGTTTTCCTCAGAAGAAATGAAGGATCTTCTGATCAAAGAACAGTGTAGTTGTAGAGGCCAGAAGAAGGAAACTTCTTAAGGTGCGGGTGTTACCACTGCTACCAAGGTGCCAGAATGTGGCAGCTTCAGATCGAGAGGTAAGAGAAGGTACCCCTGTGCTCCAAACAGACAGGCTGAGGATGGAGAGCAGCTGGAAAAGGGAGGCTATTGCAGCGGTTTTCTCTCATCCTGGTTGCTACCTAGGATTGGAGATGCTTGCTGTCCATCTGCAAGGGAGGTGCTGCCTGGCGTCAAGAGCCCAGGACATTGCCTTTTGACCTTCAGACATGTGCTAAACATAGGAGCACACTGATGAGGTGAGATGCCAAAGTACTAGGACAGTCCACGGTAGTAGAAAGGCCGCTGTAGGAAGGGAGAGCTGAGGCCATTACTGGCTGGCCCAAGTCCTGCTGCATGAGCATTACGTTTTGAACCTCCTTTAACTTTCCTTGGTACTATTTTTTGCTAGGAAAACCTAGCAGAATGCTTTAAAAACTGACAGTCATTCTGAGGCAGACTAAGGCTTTTGGCTCCTTGCTCACTTCTGCATACCACAGTGATGGTTTTCCTTATTGGAACTTTGCAAGTGCTCACGCACAGAAACCATCTGCTAGGCAAGTCTTGTCTGGGTACCCTCAGCGATTTGCTACAACAGATTCTAATCTTTGTTTTTCAATTCCTAAATTATTATTTCACACTCTCAGAATCCAACATGCAAGCACTTAATTAGGGTAAAACCTACTTTGCAGCTTCCCTGAGATCAGTTACATTTCTTGTTTTCCCTCTTCCATCTTCGTCAAGCTCCACTTCTGGCATCTTTTGTAACATATTTAAACAATTTCAGAGTCAAGGTCAATTGTTTTTCAGCCGATTATCTAATGGAATATTGACTCTGAGAACTCTTGGAAGAGCCATTCTATTCACAATGAGGATTTTTATGTTCTGGGACTTTTGGTGCGAGCTCAGGCATGGTGCAACTGGAATCTCTTCAACTGGAGATTCTAGGTACTACCCAGTAACAACAGTAGTATCTGCAGCAGTTTCAGAATTCGGAACAAATGCAGAACGTCCTCTCTGTGACTACCTGGGCAGCTTGAAAAACCTGCAGCTTGTTCTTCATGAATGGTATTAGCACCCAAAATACATAACAGCAAGTGTCAGTTCCTCATATGCCAAGTGAGCTCCAGCACCAGCCACTATCACTAGACATTCTTGGAGAAGAAGCAACGGAAAAAAGAAACTATTGGTTAGACAGAGGGAGGAGGAGATTATAAAAGAGAGAGACAAGGACAGATGTTCACATACTCATTTATGCTGCCCTGCTCTTTGCTGCACCAAGTCCTTGTTTTCATTCCAAAGGGAAGAGCGGGTCAGTCCTCCCGCACAGCTGTACTTCACCTTTACCTAACACTTCTGCACTTTCTGTATCAGCTTCCAATAAACACTGATGCCAGGGCTCAATATTCAGTCTGGAATATCTAACACCCTCCCCCAGACCCCCCAGTATTCTCAGGAAATAATTAAGGAATGTGTCTCTTTTCCTCCCACTGTAATCTTCACCTCGGGATGTACTCTAAAAGAAGATACTAGCTTTTTTTGCAGAGGATTTTCTGTCTTTTGGGTGAGTACATCATTTTTCATACAGATTTTTAATTTTTTATCATTTCATCCATTATTTTCTCTTTTTGGCAGCCTGTGCCTGGTTTACACGATCTCAGTTTTAAAGCATGGGAAAGTAAACAGCAGTTCCTTATTTGCAGGAGCTTCTAGGCCAGTGACAGATACTCCAGAGCTCTGACTAATCTGCGCTTGAGCATTTTAGGCATCTCCCCACTGCCCGAGTCCTGCCTGCCCATCTGTGCTAAGCACTTACAATCAACTGAGGGAAGTAGAATAATGAGGGAAGCAGAGTAATCTCAGTCTCCCCTCTGACTGCTTAAAGCCATTCCCCCTTGTCCTGTCCCTACACCCCTTCTCCAAAGCCCCCCTCCAGGTTTATTCTAGCCCCTTTAAGGCCCAGAGCTGCTCTAAGGTCCCCCTTTAAGGAACCTTCTCTTCTGCAAGCTGAACAGCTCTCTCAGCCTCTGACGTTTATCTCCTGGGCTCTGGGTGAAGGCCAATGATCCACAGAGGACGTGGATGAGAAATTAATAAAATATACTATACTTTCTCACACTAGTTTTCTGCAGTCAAGCCAAAATGCAACAGTTGAAGAGCTTGATCTGGGAAGCAATCAAGACTGCTACCATGTAGGAAATAACTCATATGCCAGTAATACTGCTTCAATGCATCAAATTAAGGACAAGTAGAGCTGGTGCATCAAAACACCTTGGTTAATTTTCTACATTCCTTAACAAAATGCGTTCTCATCAAAATCATCACGAAACGCAAACAAAAGTCTCGAGGCTCAAAGTTTCACATGGACATGTAAGAGACGTTTTTACCTGTATTCAAAGCTCTTTCTCAGACCTGATTTCAGTTTTAGAAGAGCATTTGTATCTACTTCATGGTTAGCCTTCCCTGGAAGAGGGATTCCAAGTGGGACCAGCTGAGGAACTGGCACAGAGCCAGACATCACTTTCTCCACAGTGCTCTTGAAAGAAGAAAAACAAAAAGGCAGACAATAATGTTTCTGAACAGAAGAATGCATTGAGAGATACAGTCTTTGAATGGGATTCCTGCCTTCATTTGTTTCTCTTGAAAGAGAGAACATCAGATTTTTTAAAGTGTTATTCCTCATGGCATGATTTTCACATTGGAAAGGAGCAAGAAACCAACAACCATCCAAATTCCAACTTATTCTCCTCTTGCAGAACTGCGAACAAAGCTTGATGAGCACTGCTGCTTCCATTTCACTTTGACCTTCCTTGCTCAAGTCTGGTTCCCATGTGTTCCAGAGAAACAGCTTTAGCATCATACATCAATGATACCTGATAGGAGTGAGTAACAGGGAAGTCTCTCCACCCTAATGGCACATTGGAGCCAGCCTCTTGTTTCATTGCAGCCACCTGAATAGATACAAGATGTATACAAAGGGCTAAAGCAAGACAGCCCTTGCTTAAGCTTATCTCAGCTTCTATAGGCACTACGAATATACCTATAAACAGGTGCCAGACATGATTTATCATAATTACAGAGTCATTATCATGTCACACAATTCAAGACTGACAAACTGCATTTGCATACAATAACATTTTGCAATACAAAACGATGTACTCCAGATCTTGGGAACTGATCCGCAGCGCCAGGAAACATGCCTGCACTGCAAGTGTTTCCTTCGGTAACCAACCCTTTGTTCCTCCAGACACATCTCTTACACTGGTCAGCAATGCAGACAGCACTGATTCAGCACGGCAGGGGTTCCTCAGTCTGTGCTCTGTCTGAGGCTATGCTGAAGAGAAGCCACAGTGCTGTCTGCAGGCGCCCATCTCCTTGGATGGGTTGCCCCAGAACAGTGGTTCAGGACTGGGGCAGTTCTCAGCCAAACTCTTGGGCTGCACACACACGGTGTGCACGGGACACACAAGGGTGTTGGCTCAGATCTTTACCTGATGCGAAGGGGCTGCGAGCAGCTTTCCTCAAGGAGCCGCCTGCTCCTGGCACCCCTGCACCAAAAGCACAGGACTTCGGTTCAGCCTCCTGAGAGCCCAGCCCTGCTGGGACACAATGGTCCTGCCGCCACGCCCAGCCCCTGCCCCAGCGTGGGCTGTAAGATTGCCGAATCGAGTGGCAGTGATGCACTCTAGAGGACACCAAAGGGGTGACACGGATCAGGAGAAAGGGAACCGACTGGCAGATTTAGAGGCAAAAAGAGTGGCAGAAGAAGAGGTAAACCTATTGGCCATAAGAGCAGACGGAAAGATAGGAAGTGTTAATTCTGAAATTTCTGATTCAAAGGAAGATTTAAAACTAGCTCAGGATTTGAAGGCACAACTTCAAGATAAAATGCATAGGAATCTGAAGTGGGAATCTATAGTGGGAATCTTCAGTAAGACTCATCTTAATTCTTTCTTCCTTAAATATTGATGGGAAAATGCTGTAACTTCTCAGCACTGGTGGAAAGACAAATGCAAGTTATCTGACATCTGTGTAAATTGAGACTGAACATTTTACAGCACCTCATCTCCTTACCTCATCGTGTTTGGCTTTGAGCCTTACAATAAATAATTCAATATCTGGAAAAAGTTACTTGACACATGCCAGTGAAGGGATTTTCAAAATATTCACTGTTGTGAAGCAGGATTTTTTTTTCTCCCATTATGTTTTTGAGGCTTTGGCTACTTTTTTCCAGTTGTTGGACTGTTAGGGGCATGGGAAATGAAGTTCATTGAAGCTGATTCAATAAAGAGCTGAAGCAGGTATTCGTAGAACAGCTTAGGTTTAAGAGTCCTGTGCTGAGATTCTTGATCCTAATTATGGATTGAGCTGTTCAGTTCTGTGGAAGGCCACTTACTGTGTAGTATTAAAGTTTTTATGCTTTGTAGAAAGAAAAGGAACAGCTGTTTGCTCCATCCAGTCCCTTGTTATCAGTCACTGGGCTATAAGGTATGACTTTGTTTCTCCCTCTTAGATCTTTCCTCATGCTTCTGTTTCATTGTTTGTAAACTAAGTGTGGTGTTGTAAGACTGCAGGAGGACTGACTCCAGCTCAGTTGTTAAATCAGTCTTCTATACATTGCTAACTTGGACCGGCACATTAATTGTGAGGTTGTTGGCAGTCTAGAATGTGCAGGACTTTTGGTTTCCCCCTGCCTCCCCACAGAACTTACTGTATTCTTAGGAGAAAGCTTGGTTGCACAGAATCAGTGTTTTCTTCTCAGGTAGTCCACAGCTTCAGAGCTGTCACCAAAGGGCATTAAAGAAGTGAGGGTAGTTACAAGTATATGCTGTCCCACTTGTTATAAATGTTAAGCAAATAGGCATTAGATATAGTCACTCTCAGTTTTGTTTATAACTTGGTTGTAATTGCACTTCATCCCACGTAACCCAAAGTCTTCATTGTCCTAAAAAGGTATGCTGTGTGTCAGCATCAAGACATACATTATTTTTGTTACTTTTCTGTGACTTCCAGGTGGTATTTACAAATTGTATTAAATTGTAATTACTTCCATTTCTTGAGGAGTTGTCTGGATCCTCAGTGTTGAATTTGGCATGCATAGTGCAAGAGCAACTTACTGTTCATGGTTTCATGGGGTTCAGGTATTGACAATTGCAATGTGTGCTTCTGCAAAGACTCTGCATTCCATTTTGTACATGTATTTGCACTGGGGTTTTTTTTGGTTTGGTTTGGGTTTGGGTTTTTTTTTTTAGTATATATATTGCTGTAGTACTTTTTGAATCAATTTCTCCTATTTGTGGCAGACAATGTTTTAAAACACTAGTTAATAGCAATGATAAAGGATAGTAGTAATTCCTATCAGATGTTGTGGACATCATTCCAGTTTTACAAAAAGCTTTAAATAACTCTAAACTGACAGTGTGTGTCTGTGGCATTTGAGGAAAGATAACTTTGCAGATTGAAAATCATCTTACTTTTACCTAAAAGTGCCTTCTCCTTTCCTGTCTTTTCCTTTCTTGAAAAAACATATAAGTTCTTTTTCATTAATTGATACATGAGCGGCTTTGCCAGTTTCTTAGGGCATCATTTCCTAAGCGCAAATAGGTCTATGTTTGACTCCTCCTTTGAAGGGAGTAACAGAATGTAACTATAACACCTTCTCCAATCCCACACTAAAAGCTGTAATGCTTTTTGTAACTGTTTCATCAACTATCCATGTCAGGGAAATAATGAATCACAGGGGAACTTCACCTGTGTCCTTTCAACTGCCTTGCTTCAAAGTTTTGTTTGAATGTCTGTCATAAACCCAGAGAAGTTCTTTGCTTTCTCCACATGATCATCAAGCAGCTTCTGTCTTGAAAATAATGAAGAGACCCTCAGCAAGAAACTTGTGTTTCAGAATTTTTTTGTACCAATATTGGATACCTGCTTAACAAATGATTCACATTTCTTTACCCTTTCCAATACATTCATCCAAGTCACTGCTGCTCACACTGCTTAGCAGATTATAATTAGCATTTTCAGATTGGTAGCTGGAAAAGGATATCTCTTTTTGACAAATGCTTTCCCAATGACTGGTTATGCAAATACCACTTTTTCTGGCAGCCATGAATACTGCTTTTGCATGCTCTATTCTATACTCCCAGTTCGACTTTTGGTGTTGTAACCTTGCGTTTTGAGAGCTGAATGCGAGTGGATCACATTCTGTAGTAAGATTACGAGTTGAATCTTAATCAAGTCTATATAATCATCATCTGTTAATATCATCTCCCATTCAGATGGTGAGGCTGTAGTGCAAGAAAGGAGCTCATGACAGGAAAATCAAGAGTAGAAGGACTATGAGGAAGATGTTAGAAGAAAGATCCCCAAGAGCTGTGGAGACAGTAGGTTATAGGTGTGAAGTGGACTTCCCCTTCAAATATGCTGTGGATCTCAGATTCGCCAGTGCTTGGCTTAGGCTCTGAAGCCTAAAGGGAGGGAATGGTCAGAAGGGGGCTGCAAGAGTGAAGAATCAGACATTTCTGGGAGAGTGTTCTGGGGCTCTTCATAGCAAAACATGTCTGACTTGCACTGCTGCTGATCTGTAGTTTTTAGTACAGTTAAGGCAGAGGTTAGTCAGTTAAAAACAGGCAATCAAATGACAGCAAGTATGTAAGCACAGTGGCTTAATGCACAGGTATAGATGAAATTGCTTGTGTTGCTAAGTGAATTAGAGAGTGGGATTTGTAATGTTAGTTCTAGAATAAGCACTTCAGTGTGAAGATTGTCGTGGTTTAAAACCAGGCAGAGGGCTCGTTCACTCACTCCCCCCCTCCTTCTTGTTCTTCCCCTACTCCCAGAGGGATGGAGAGGAGAATCGAAACGAATGTAACTCCCACGGGTTGAGATAAGAACAGTTTAGTAACTAAGGTATAACACAAATCACTACTGCTACCACCAATAATAACAATGATAAAGGAAATAACAAGGGAAGAGAATACAACATCTCACCACCAGCTGACCAATAACTCACACCCCCCCGCCTGACCAAGCTCTGACCGATGCCTCCTCCAACCCCGCAGACCCAGCCCTTCTGGCTAACTCCCAGTTACATCCTGGGCATGACGTGCTGCGGTATGGAATACCTCTTTGGTCAGTTTGGGTCAGGTGTCCTGTCTCTGCTTCCTCCCAGCTTCCCCTCCTCCCTGGCAGAGCATGAGGCTCACAAAGTCCTTGGCCAAGCCAAAACATCATTGTTATCAGCTCTGTTCCCAAGCCGAAAGTCAAAACACTGCACTGCACCAGCTACCAAGGAGGAGAAAAATGACTGCTACTGCTGAACCCAGGACAAGTTGTGTTGATTTTGTGCCTAAGAATAAAGCTAATAGCGCACCTTCGGTAAAAGTTTTCCAAATTATCAGTGGTAGTTTTCCACTACCAGTGTCGTGGTCATTTCAGACTGGACAAAAATCATAATGGCACCCAACGGAGACTTTTTGAATAGATCACTAATTTGCTCTATGTTTGACAATACTCCAAAGCAAATCATAGAAAAGTATCAGCTCACACTGCCTTTCTGGGTGAAAACATCTGCAACCTGCCTGGCTTTTCCTCATGCCCCTCTTGCAGCAGTACTGAACTGGGATGTGCCAGGATGCAGGGTATTTCATGTGAAGTTTGTAGTGATGACTGTAGTACTAACTTAGCATCTTGATAAAATGAACATCATTTGCATTAAGACTAGACATTTCTTTTTGTGTAGATGAAGGATGTGTAACCGTGGATCATAATTACACTAGGAGAGCAGCATAATATTCCTTGGCCTGTATAGCAATTCGGGGACACATGTTAGGAGGAGCTATCCCCCGTGTCTCCCGGCGCCACAATAAAGAATACCTGCTTGTCAACTTGAAACTCTGTTGGCAAGTTTGTTCCTGGAGTTTTCTCCGAATCAATTTGGCGACCCAGGTGGGACCCTCTCTGCTTGGCTGCAGGACCTGCTGAGGACAGGGCTCCCTAGGGCCCGTGGGAGTTTTTCCCAGAAGGACCCCTCGACTCATTCGGATCACTGCGAGAGCAGACAAGGACCATCTCATAAAAGGTATTCTTTTCTTTTATAGTCTTTAAGATGCAGGGGGCATCTCGGTTTGGTAAATTGGTTTGGTAAGCGTATGCACAGTGAGGAAGCCTTCCATAAATCGAGATAGGAAATCTCGTGGGTAAAGGCGTATACCCGGCTGCTAGCATCCGTTTGGTATACACCCACAAGAAGCAGTGGGCATCTTGTGGTTTGGGTCCGACAAGACGCAGTGGGCGTCTTGCACTATTATACGCACAAGAAGCAGTGGGCATCTTGTGGTTTGGGTCCAAGACGCAGTGGGCGTCTTGCACTAAAGGTTTTACACACAAGAAGCAGTGGGCATCTTGTGGTTTGGGTCCGACAAGACGCAGTGGGCATCTTGCACTAAAGGTTTTACACACAAGAAGCAGGGGGCATCTTGTGGATTGGGTCCGACAAGATGCAGTGGGCGTCTTGCACTAAAGGTTTTACGCACAGGAAGCAGAGGGCATCTTGTGGTCTGGGTCCGACAAGATGCAGTGGGCGTCTTGTAGGAAAGGTTTTGGATTTTACTGGCAT